TAACAATAAAAAATAAACCCTTATTTCCTAATTGAAATCCCATTTCATACTTTTCCCAAATTAGATTTTTTTTATTTTGTCGGGCAGAGATGAAATCCTCATGGACACTAAAAAATCTGTACTCGAGAGTAATGTAGGACTGTTACTGGCAAAAAACTCCGCAAATTTTTTAAAAAAATAAATGAAGTAGGTAGCCTAATGTCTGTGATTTGAGAATTTTATTTTGAAACTAATAATAAGCTGGACATACAATTAGTAATTCATTGTTTTAGAAATTAATTGTGAAACATTAGGTAAGTATTTATAAAAAAATTTTAATTTAAGGAACCAAAGGAAATTATTATGAAAACTCAACAATGTATTTAATTTGATGTTTTGTATTTAATCACTTGACTCTAATGTTTACATAATAACATTGTTATACTATGTTTTAATACCATTAATCATCAGAATCATACAGCATTTTAGGTTACTTAATCTACTTACACCCAAACAACCTCATCACAGCAGTATTTATATCATGAAATGAAATGAAATCAACTTTATTCATACTTTGCAAACATGTGCACGAATGGCGTCATTACATTGGATCAAAATCATAATGCTTAATACCAAAAAAGTACAAGATATATGCATCCTTTAACATAACCAACAATTAAAACCGAATTGTTTACATTTAAACAATTGTTATAACAATCAAAGTTAAACATGTAAGTTTAAATATACAAAATTCTCCTAGTAGTTGCACCGTATCAGAGTGAAAAGAATAAATTGTTGTTGGAATAAATGTTTGTAGTTTTTTGTCCTTCATACGTTACCAAACCGGCCGACCGATCGATCGTAAAGAAACTTTGGGGAGTGGTTCCATACCAAAGGTTTCTGTTGAAATTTTGGAAAACTTCTCAGGGCTATGAGTTTAGTGGTTTGGTCTTTAAAGTACCCATGTAATCCGTATAGATAAATTATTTGTTTACATTTCAACAGCTGAATACTTTTCAATTGAGGAGTAGGGTGGAAAAACAGCCTCAGTCTGAAATTTGAGTTTTGAGTAAACTGAGGTTGAAGTTTTATGCTTGCTTTTGTTAATATTTGTCAGAAAATCCAATTCCTCAGTCCATTCTACTTCTATCAAGCAACTTATGTAGCTTACAGCTGTATATATATATATATATATATATATAAAGAGTAAAATAATGAATTGGCTTAGAAAGGCGAAATAATAAGTACACCTCAGAGGTTGTTTTTCCATAACAGTATCTTGAGTTATCTTGAGTATAATTAGTAATAAAACATAACATTTAAATGGTTTTAATTCAATAATAATAATTAATTATAGTTACAAATCACAATTATTTAAAATTTGACTACTTAAAAATGACAAAATGACTTGGTGTATGCCTATAAAAATACATCAGCAATACCACTTCTTTCACTTATGGTTTTAATTTGAAATATTAACAAATAAATTAAATAAACTGTTATAAATAACTGAACATAACCTCAAACCAGTCTGAGACAGCTCTGCGACTCAATTATCGCTCCGGGATTGGTATCCATTGAAATAATCTAGATGCGCACACATACGACTATATTGTTGCTCAGTCTCAGTCGGCTACACATGTGAACTTAGGTTGACAAAAAAACGTGTTTGCTCATTGGATTAAATTGTTGTGTAAAGTTCGTTTGGAAAAGTAAATTTTCAAGTATGGGTGTGCTTGTTGAGGACGTTGAACAATAATTGATGAAGTTGAGAAGAACCTTTATGTTTAAATTTAAATGCATTGACAGTCTATTCTGATATTTAATCTGAAGAAGAAGTTGTGGGAGGAAAGTATCCTTGGCAGTTAATAACATAGTACATACTATTTTTGTATCATTTAAAAAAATTCTGTAATGTCCAATTCGTGTCTTAAAACAGTTGCCTGTGTGCACACTTTAGCGCAACTGTCACTAGACTTCAGAGTCTTATAGTGAGTTGAGCAACAGTCCCCCTTAATAAATTGGGCAACTGTTGCTAGACTCAAAATCGCCTGTGTGACCCCCAAGGCCACACTCTAATGTGTGGCTTTGGGCTAGACCAGTCCTTTGAGGTGAATATGTGCCGCCTGATGCTGCCCTTCCAACCCCGCCACCATGTGATGTTGCATCGGAAGCTACCGCCATTATTAAGACGTGCATTTACACTCGATGTTTTCTTTCGTTAACAACGTTTTTACATAGAAATAGTGTATTGTTTGAGTTTGGTTATGATATTTTTAACATGTAAGAGTAGTTTGATATTATAAAGGTTCAAGATTTTTTTTACATGGTGGGCTGCAGGGTATTGTATGATTGTATGGTTATTGTGTATTTGTGGCGCGGAATAGGATAACTAATCTCCCTCCCTGATTCCGTGCATGACTCATCACAGCTTACAATCGCTTTTTGAGCACTATTTCATAACCACTGAGAGTACGGACTTTCTTGAGATCCTGCATGGAGAAGAAAATTGGAAAAGAAATACTAAATTAAACTCCCATAAGAAATGTTCATGGAGGAAGTTTCGTTGGTGTATAACTCGAATTATACGCCAGATAAACGAATGCCGATGCTTGATGGCAAATCTGTGCGTGTAGGCCTATGCCTTTAATTTTATACCAAAATTATGAATATTGGTCTGTTGAAAGAGCCGAGCCGACTCGTATAACTAAGAGAAAACCTAATAATTTTGTATAGGCCTATACAGATCACAATAATCTATTTCTTAACTAACAGTTGTAAACTTCTAATAATTTATCTTTGTAAAAAATATCAAGCTACTTTAAACACTCTAAAAATAATGAAATGATCTTTTTGTAATATTCAAGCTCACGTATTTGAAGTCGGGCTCTATGATGATTTTTGACATAACATACTGAAAATTTAAAGAGGATGTCCACATTGCAGGCGATTATCTATAACTAAAGGTGTTAATCTTCATTTTTTCAGAGTTTTGCGTTCGGAGTTATTTTATCATTGTAACCCATCATTGGCAGATAACTTTATACAGTTTTTTTAAATAACATAATAAATTATAATTTTATAGTGGTATAACAAGTATGTTTTAAACAATGATAATGCATTTAAATGTTTTTAATTTGCAAAAGTAACGTTTTAATATTGAGCTAGCTTCTTTTCCATATCATAATAATCTGTTTCTTATTCATATAGAAAATTTGTGTGTGATAGTTGCATAATGCATTAATTCAGAAGTAAATATAAAATACAAGTAAATACTTCCTTGGTATCCAAACAAAACAGTGCATATGTTTTTTTATATATTTATATCCTGCTATGTTTTATTGATTTTAATTCTTTTAGAGCGTTTGAAATCGGTTGTTTTTTTTTTAAAAAGATATTTGATACATATTTATTACTGGTACTTAAAGGCTTTTTAAAAGAAAAATTGTTTGGACCGATCAAAAACGTTACCATACGGAACAATTATTATTTTAAAACTGCCTGAGTCACCTGTTCAGGTTACATAATTTATGGTTATAAAAATTAATATTTTTTATGTTTTGGTAAAACAGGTGATGAATTGGAATTGCAAGAAATGAAACCTTTTGCATCTAAAAATGTTTTTTGTAAACCGACGTAGCCTAAAAGTTTTATGTCTTAAAAATCAATAGGAAATAAGTGTATTGTTCGATTGTAATAATTTTTCCATTGATATACTATAATTTTCTTTTTAAGATGTTTATTTTATAGTGTTGATAAAATATAGAATACAATTTCAATACTCAAAACGAAACTTTACAAAATGCAGGTCAAACGTTGAAATACCTTACTCATAGTAACTAAAACAAAACGCCTAGTAAATGCAAAGTCAGTTATTTAGGCTCCATAGCAAGACATGGTTTGCTCCTATGTGAATTAATGTATGTTTCATCAACCTGCCACTGGTTTTGAATGATTTTTCACATATAGTGCACTTATGAGGTCTCACTACGGTGTGTACTAATGTATGTCTCTTCATACTGCCACTGGTTTGGAAGGATTTTCCACATATAGTGCACTTATGAGGTCTCACTACGGTGTGTACTAATGTATGTCTCTTCATACTGCCACTGGTTTGGAAGGATTTTCCACATATAGTGCACTTATGAGGTCTCTCTCCGGTGTGTACTAATGTATGTCTCTTCATATCGCTACTGGTTTGGAAGGATTTTCCACATATAGTACACTTATGAGGTCTCTCTCCGGTGTGCACTAATGTATGTTTCTTCATATAGTAACTGGTTGAGAAGGATTTTCCACATATAATACACTTATAAGGTCTCTCTCCGGTGTGTACTAATGTATGTTTCTTCATATTGCCATTACTCGAGAAGAATTTTCCACATAAAGTGCACTTATGAGGTCGCTCTCCAGTGTGTACTAATGTATGTTTCTTCATACTGCCACTGCTTGTGAAGGATTTTCCACATATAGTACACTTATAAGGACGCTTATTAGAATGAATTAATAAATGAGTCTTAACATGATGTAGATTAAAAAATATTTTATCACAAGTTAAACATCTAAAGGGACGCTCGCCGGTGTGTAAGTATATATGAGGCTTCATATTTGATAGAGTTGAAATCAGTTTTCTACATATTGGACACTTAAGGCGAGGCTTTTTAGTGACCTTAAACATTTTTTTGTTTTCAATTTCCAACTTATAACTTATTAGACAGGCTACAAACTAATTGGAATTAGTCAGTTGGCTTTGTATGTCTATTTTTTAGGATTTGGTGTTTAACAGTTATGTGTAACAATCAAATTTGATCAACTTTTTGATCAAATATTGTTATGTTCATTAAATACAAATACAACACAGCCTACTTGAGGCATTTTTCTTGACTTTTATATTCAATCATATTAAATTAGTTGTCTTATTTTAAGAAAAAAAAAAAAATTTCTATTTGTTCATGTTGTTTTCAAATAATATTGCATCAGCCATTAATTAAAATTCAAGTTTTACATAGTAAATTACTTACTTTCATTTGTACTTTTAGTGTAGTAAAAACTTAATCTTTTTATCTGTTGTTTTAAGTATTTATAATACTTTGCAGATTCAGTTTTTTTTTTTTGCTACATGAATTATTGAAGTTCCTTTTCCTCTTCAAATCTATTGCCTCTTCTGAAAAAAGATCATATTTTATTAAATATAAACATTTGTTGTAATCATTTAGATAGTATGTTTGTTCATTTAGTCTAAACAAAAATTCTATAATTTATTAAAATAATAATTTTAAATCAACACTAAAATTTATAGTAAATCCATAGCATTATTATAATGCAAAATTAAATTTATAAATGCAATTGCAAATAATATAAATTTTATCTAAATAGGTATGGTCTGGGTGTCCATAAAATATTTATTGGGTTTTAAAATACTTTATTCAACTGACGATACATGAATAGTCAACCTGTTTGCCAGATTTTTTTGCAATTTCTTTCTCTGGGGCTATGTGAATAACAGGGCATACATCTTGCTATTAGGAGCCAATAAGGAGGAGCCCCATCCTGCTTCCACATGAAGTGCACTTATGGGGTCGCTCTTCTGTATGAACCAATGTATGTTGCTTCAAGGTCACAAAGTCTTCCATTCCATATCCTCTTCAGGTTAAGGAAACAAACATTGCTCCGACATGTCCGGAGTGCAATATCAGTGACAACCATATCAGTGGCAGAAACCATCAGTGACAAGTGTCAAAAAGCAGAGTAAATGTGTTGTGTTATGTAGCGAGAGTAATCCAGTGATAGATGCAGTAGCGACTGGTGTTCATAGGTGGTGGGAGGGCTCTGCATATTTTTATATATAAACGAAAGCCTAACATCATTAACGTTTGTCAACGAACTGGAGAAGCTTTAAGGTTTAAATTTGTAATACAGGCCATAGACTAATATTCATTCAATAAGATTATATTTACAATACAATTTGTTTATTAAGATTTTTACATTATCTTTAACCATACAGAAATGTATTATATATGAAATAGCATACATTTTTAACAAGCTTTTCATTGGTGATATTTATTTTGAACTAGCTGTTGTACCCGTGCTTCGCAACGGAGAGGGCACTGAACAAAAAAAATTTTCTTGCATTCCGTTCTATAAAATAGTTACACATTCCCCTTTGGTTTCAGGAACATAACTCAACTGAAACTATTAGTTTGACAAATATCTTTCTACTAAGCTACTAAAGCTACTAAAGCACTTTACACTTAAACATAATGTTATATATATGGTACCAAAGGGTAACCCTCCTGGTTATTTTGGGGGTGGAACCATGGCTGATCGGTATAAAAATCTCAGAGAAATTGGGGAACATATATAGAAAAATATACATTGGCACAAACGAATTGAGAACCTTATTTTTTTGTTGGTAGTGGGGAATTCGGTTCAAAATACCCACAAGTAACAGATACAATAGATGGCTATTCAAATAAAAAAAACAATTAATTATTAACATCACATTAATTAAACTAGAACAATCGCAATAAAACAACTGATGATACAAATACTGAAATACAGTTAGGGGAGGCTCCGTGGCTCTACACGTACAAATCACGCTGTAGGGAGTCAAGCTGGGTGTGAGTGTTGTGTGTGTGCCAGGGTGTGTGCTGGCGCCAACGAGCACGCTGGCCCGCGGGGTGTGCGGACGTGCGTGTGACAGCTATAACGCGGTAAGAGTGTGTTTGTGTGTGTGGTTGTACGGCGAGACCTCTAGCGCTCCTAGCCTGACCGTACAGAACTACGTGGGCCAGCAACTTCGCCGTACAAGCAGCTCGAACATACCGAGCCCTATCCGGCGGAGAATCTACTAAGGGTTTAATCTATGCCCAAACTCTGATGGATCTTAAAGGATGCCATTAACCTGAATGTGGCAGAAAAAAATTGTTTGGTAGCCGTGACATATTGGAACGTGTAATGGAAGAATTTAAGAAAATGATTCAAACCTACGTGAATCAAAGTGGATTTGCGTTATTTTTTATCTAAAAGTAAACAAAGAATATCTGATTACAAGGGCTGTTTTTTAAGTAAGGACTGTTTATGCGTACGCATCCGTAGTTCGCTTGTAAGCCGCAATGAGGCTCCTCAGGCACATACAGCCATAATTTATGAACAACATGACATAATTTTTAGCTTTGTAGATGACATATATGCTTTACTTACGTTTTTTAAATGTTTTTCATCATCGAAACTCCCCCTGATTAAATTCTTGGGTGTGAATTGATGTATGTTTCTTCACAAATCTTTTTGATTGTAAATGATTTTCCACATGTATTGCTCCTATGTGAATTAATGTATGTTTCTTCATATGGACACTGGTTTGGAAGGATTTTCCACATATAGTGCATTTATGAGGTCTCTCTCCTGTGTGCACTAATGTATGTCTCTTCATATGGCCACTGGTTTGGAAAGAATTTCCACATATAGTGCACTTATGAGGTCTCTCTCCGGTGTGTACTAATGTATGTTTCTTCATAACGCTACTGGTTGTGAAGGATTTTCCACATATAGTACACTTATGAGGTATCTCTCGGGTGTGCACTAATGTATGTTTCTTCATATAGTAACTGGTTTTGAATGATTTTCCACATACAGTACACTTATGAGGTCTCTCTCCGGTGTGTACTGATGTATGTTGCTTCATATTGCCATTGCTTGAGAAGGATTTTCCACATAAAGTGCACTTATGAGGTCGCTCTCCAGTGTGCAGTAATGTATGTTTCTTCATATGGCTACTGGTTTGGAAGGATTTTCCACATATAGTGCACTTATGAGGTCTCACTACGGTGTGTACTAATGTATGTCTCTTCATACTGACACTGGTTTGGAAGGATTTTCTACATGTAGTACACTTATGAGGTCTCTCTCCGGTGTGAACTAATGTATGTTTCTTCATACTGCCACTGCTTGTGAAGGATTTTCCACATATAGTACACTTATGAGGTCTCTCTCCGGTGTGTACTAATGTATGATACTTCATATTGCCACTGGTTTTGAAGGATTTTCCACATAAAGTGCACTTATGAGGTCGCTCTCCAGTGTGTACTAATGTATGTTGCTTCATACGGCCACTGGTTGCGAAGGATTTTCCACATATAGTACACTTATAAGGACGCCTATCAGAATGAATTAACAAATGAGTCTTAACATGATGTAGATGAATAAATATTTTCTCACAAGTTAAACATCTAAAGGGACGCTCGCCGGTGTGTAAGTATATATGAGACTTCATATTTGATAGAGTTGAAAACATTTTTCTACATATTGGACACTTAAGGCGAGGCTTTTTAATGACCTTTAACATTTTTTTGTTTTTCAATTTCCAACTTCTAACTTATTAGACAAGCTAGAAACTAATTGGAATTAGTCAGCTGGCTTTGTATGTCTATTTTTTAGGACAGTTACGTGTAGTCCTATTTTAAGAAAAAGTGATTTCTATTTTTTCATGTTGTTTTCAAATAATGTTGCATCAGCCATTAATTAAAATTCAAGTTTTACAAAGTAAATTACTTACTTTTATTTGTACTTTTAGTGTAGTAAAAACTTAATCTTTTTAACTGCTGTTTTAAGTATCTATAATACTTTGCAGATTAAATTTTTTTGCTACATGAATTATTGAAGTTCCTTTTCCTCTTCAAATCTATTGCCTCTTCTGAAAAAAAAGATCATATTTTATTAAATATAAACATTTGTTGTAATCATTTAGATAGATTGTTTTTTCATTTAATCTAAACAATAATTTGAAATCAACAATTTATAGTAAATCCATAGCATAATTATAATGCAAAATTAAAATTATAAATGTAATTGCAGATAATATAACTTTTATCTAAATAGGTATGGTCTGGGTGTCCAAAAAGTATTTATTGGGTTTTAAAATACTTCATTCAACTGACGATATATGAATGGTCAACCTGTTTGCCGGATTTTTTCGCAATTTCTTTCTCTGGGGCTATGTGAATAACAGGGCATACATCTTGCTATTACCTCAAACCTCTCCAATTTGTAGGAAAGTATTCACATTAACAGTAGAACAGGTTATGTTTACTAACGTTACCAGCGGCCAATCCAACCATCAGAAAGTTTGTCATTTAAAAACATGGGCATTGCAGAGCGAGAGCCAATAAGGAGGAGCCCCATCCTGCTTCCACATGAAGTGCACTTATGGGGTCGCTCTTCTGTATGAACCAATGTATGTTGCTTCAAGGTCACAGTCTTCCATTCCATATCCTCTTCAGGTTAAGGAAACAAACATTGCTCCAACATGTCCGGAGTGCAATATCATAGTGACAACCATATCAGTGAGAAGTGTCAAAAAGCAGAGTAAATGTGTTGTGTTATGTAGCGAGAGTAATCCAGTGATAGATGCAGTAGCGGCTGGTGTTCATAGGTGGGAGGGCTCTGCATATTTTTATGAATAAACGAAAGCCTAACATCATTAACGTTTGTAAGCGAACTGGAGAAGCTGTAAGGTTTAAATTTGTAATATAAACACTCATAGGCCTAGCCTGTGATATACATTAGAACTCCTGTTAACCAAATTCGGGTTTAACCGAAAACCGGGTTAACCAAAATGGTTCTATAGAATATACAGGGCTGTAAAATGTTTTAATAACTTCAGTTGTCTGTTTTAAAGTATTTTCTATCCCATTGTATCATTTTTGTAGCTGAAATAAAACACTGAATTTTATATACCGTACATTGTCTTAAATTCATTTTTCCTACAAACTGTGGCAATACATTGGCTATTTTTAGCATATGATGGGTTAACCAAAAAATCTGTTATCTGAAACGGCTCTCCCCCCTTTATTTGGGTTAACTGGGGTTATATTTATATATAACGGTATATTTTTCGGTATATTTATTTAAACTTGTTTCCAAGGCTCATATTGTAATTAACTTAATAACAGTGTCTGCAAATGGGTCCATCCTGAAAATAACATTAACAAAATAATGATAGTATTCCATAAAATATCTAAGGTAATAAGGAATAGTAAGCCAAATAAGTAAAAAAGTATAGAAAACAAATTTCATTTAAACTTATACCGGTAACCTTAACATATTGTACATCAAAACCATGTAATATTACATGTCATTCATTCATCATTAACATTAACCCTTTGCGGTCTCATAGCCATTTTAGAAAAGTGCCTCTCAACTCGAATGGCCAGCCCTGCTGGACACGGCTACGTTCTATATCAGCTTGTCATGTTTACACGGCGCAGTGCCTCACAGGTCGTACAGCCAGCACTGCTGGCCACTACTAATTTCCCCGTCAGCTCGTCCGGCCAGTATAGGTGGCCATCCAACACACTTTTTTAACATTGTTTATTAATTCTCCCGTAGGCTGCAGCACTAAACAGAGATAGTACCTCGATTCACAGAATATTGAAATTTTAGTTTGTAAGGTTTCCAGCTCTGTATTACGTCATTTTTACTGTAAAATAACCTCAACTGTCAGTGTGTTGTTGTCATGTGAAACTGTGATGTGAGGTTACATTTACCAGGATAAAATATTATTAATTGTTTAACTGTAGGATGACTAGAAAATGGTTTATACAATAATAAAAGAAGAATTCAATACTTTACTAACCAGTATCAATAAAACAAACTTGATTATTGCATCACTGCCTATGCGACATGACTTGCCAAAATTAGACAACAAAATTAGTAATATAAACTATTGGCTTGAAGAAAAATTGAACAACTCCGTAGAAAAAAGAAGACTACTAGAACTACACCTCTTGCCTTGGGAAATGTACGCAAATCATGGTTTGCATTTCAACAAAAAAGGTAAAAGCAAAATTTCTAAAGAAATCCTAAATATAATCCGTGACTGCTGTTTCAACCCAGCTCTATCCAATAACTTCAACATCCGACTGCCTTCAGATGAAGAACCCGTCACAGTTGTAGAGGCTGACATGAATAAGGTAATTCACAAGCTGCGAGACACCGAAAACACTGCCTTTGCCCACTGCATCTCTGCAGATGTAAATGATGACAGGCACATGAGCGCTGGGGTTGCAACTGCCTTCAAAAAACATTTCAAAAAACCATTGTCCTCAAACTTTGTAAATAACAGCCTTACCTGTCAAAAATTCAATAAAACCCTAGTTTATGGACTGGTTAAACCTAGATTTTTCTCCAAACCTAATATTCAAGATTACAACAATGCATTTGATACTCTCTTAAAGGATATTGAAAAAAACTGTCAAAAACTTTTGGTGTGTTCCCCGCTGGGTTGTGTTAGTGACAACATAACCATCGAACATTTTGCTACAAATCTACTGGAGCTACGCAAGAAAACGGGAGTCAAAATCATAGTGGTTGTGAAAAATGAATATTCCTCAAGAGTTCTACGAGGCGGACTTCCCTATGATGATTTTGTCAAGATGATCAGACAACAACTTTCTAATCCAAAAGACTCCAACACATCCGATCTAATCTGCACAACCGACCTTGACATCACAACTGGCCCTTCATCCAGTACCCCAAAGGTAGACAAGATGTGTTCTACAAGCCACTGGTCTCCTATTGTAAATAGTGTTTTAGCTGTAAATCAGGTAAATAGTAATGAATCTCTGTCCAATGCCAAAGATAACCCTGTTCTCTCAAAAAACAAAACCGTAAACAAGACTATACAGACCACTTAAATGTAAACAATTTTTGTTTATTTTGCAATCAATTTCACAGTCTTACAAATGTAAATAGAGTATGGCCTATATGTAAAGAAATTAAAATAGATAAGAAATATAATTGGCTATTACATTTGAATATTCAAGGTGGTCTGATCGATAAGAAAATAGATTTAGAGGTGATTTTAGATAGCTCAAACACACTTATTATTTGCCTAAATGAACATTGGTTAAGTAGAGGAAATATTGATATTTTAAATAGTTTTGAAAATTATAATTTGGCATATTTTTATTGTAGAGATAACTGTGGTTATGGTGGTTCATGTATACTTTTAAATAATAAATTAGAATATAAAATTAGGGAAGATTTATGTATTTTTAATTCAGATTCTGTGTTTGAAATGTCTTGTGTAGAGGTTATTGAATTAAAAATAATTGTCATATCTATTTACAGAGTACCGGATGATTCTAACTTAAAATTATTTTTAAATAAGTTTGAAGATTTATTAAGGACTCTGAACAAAGACAACCAAATAAATAATGTTTACATTGCAGCGGATTGTTTTGGAATACACAAATAAACCACAGCAAAGATTTGAGTTTCTTTCTCTAATAGAGACTTACGGTTTCATTACAAACTTAACTTCTCCCACAAGGATAACCAACAATAAAGCTTCTTGTATGGATAACATACTTTCACTAAAGTTAAAAACGTGTGAAGAAACTCCATCGATGAACCTAGAACTAGGTATATCAGGTCATCTGGCAATCTGTGTGGATATTTCTAGAAATATTTCATCTCAGCACAAAACTAATCTACCTCGGGTTAA